CAGTTGTTAATGATTTTAAAGGACAGTATTTGTTTTACGGACAACATTGTATCTGTGCTCCCTTGCACGAGCTTGCAGAGTTCGCTTGGTCTGGCCTACATATTGTATGCCGCAAACTCTACACGTAATTACATATACTATACTAGTTTTTTTGCAAGTAAGTCGTTGGGATTGCATAGGGGGACAAAACTGGAGCCGGTGACGGACGATTGCACCAGTCCGTCAGACAGAATCGGGCAGCATATACAACTGCTGCCGCAGGCATGTGTGTAATAGCGAATGTTATCAACAGTATCAGTAATACGGGTAATGCGACCATGTACATCCATGCGAAAAAGGTGCTTTATCATGTGACCACCCAGTGGTTGAGCTAAAAAAAAAATCCGTGGGCAGTCTACCGGATGAAATAGCTTGATTATAAGTGATAACCGTTTTTGCTGACCAGAGAAAGAAGGAATGTGCCCGGCCAAAGGCACAAACCCTTTTAGGAACCGTGGAGCTAGGCAAGACTGCTGCCTATCGGGCTACGACCAATACCCAAATTACCCCTCCAGAGCCAGATGGCGCTAGGGTTCCCTGTCTGGCGACCTTTTAACCGGTAACCAGTGGAGGAGCTCCCAAAACCTCTAGTGGTCGAGAGATGGGAGACTCTCTAATGTGAAATAAGTATCACGTAATATAGTAATAAGGATGGGATGAAAACCGAGTGAAAAGTTAAAAGAAAATATACTAAATCCCATCCATGGGCATGTGTAAATTAAAGTAATCTAGGCACATGTAAGGGCGTCAGCTGACATATGATAACCATATACATGGTTTTGAGCGGGAAGGTGCCCCTCCATGCAAACAGCATTAGCATTTAAGGAGCACAGAAGTTGTGGCATAGCATGAAGATGACAAAGCTAACAATGGAGTAGTTTAGGTACGAAGTGGCATAATGCAATAAGGAGAGGAGCAACTAATGATAGCCTATAAACATGCAAATAGGTTAAAAAATTACCAAGAAAGTAGAGTTGCGAAGCAAATTGTGGCGTAGTAGTAGAGGTGAATAGGATGACTAGTAGATGTGTCATCTGAACGATGACCCAGGTGCCGAAGACGACTGCCGACGAAGAACACTGCGAAATGCAGAAGAACCGGTGCTTATATAGATTCCGTTCCCACCAAGAACCTGGTAATGATCGTAGGCGGAATTTTCTGGCCCAGTCATGAATGGTCACTATGATTATTCTAGAGTGACCTACAGTAGTAGAAATAGGTTGTCGAACTGAACCTATTTATTTTTGGAACGTATGGGGAAAGTGAATAATTTTTAGGCTGTGTTTAGACAGCGTATGTAAACTGCGTTGGGAACAGTGAGAATTACAATGGGAAGTGCGCAAATGATGATCTTGCGACCAAAACTGTGATGCATGCTCCAAAGAAGCATGGTGCATGTGGTTGGAGCAGCCTAACTGCTGCTCCTCCATGTACATGCGACTAATGTTAGCCAGCACAGGAAAGAGGAAAAAGCTGAAGAGGGATGCTAAGATGGGATATGGGAGATGTGGAAGTACAGATTGATACAAGAGTATTTGAGAAATTGAGTATTTGTCATGTACGTGTGCACATGCACCACAGATGAATGAAGAATTCAGGCCACCATACCCTTGTTTTCAGTCTTTACCTCCAAACAAGGCCTCAGCGTCTCTTTGCAACTTGCTCATGAGCATATGGCCGGCAGACACATTTCTTTTCGATGTGGGGGCTTTTTCAGGCCTCCTTCCATAAGCTGTGATCTTTCACAAGTATTTCGCTCATTATACAACCGTCGTTAGTAAAAACAGCAATGCGTGATTGACCCCATTTTAGACAGCAAAAAAAAACTTAGATAATTTATCTTAAAAATTTAAATAAGATAATTTATTTAAAATTTAAGTTTATCTTAAAAGTTTAAACAATTTATTCAAAATTTAAATAAGATAAACAATCTGTTAGTTTTTAAATAAGGTAATTTATACATAATTCATTTATGAGATAAATAAAATAGCAAAATAAGATATTTTTTATGTTAAAAAAAGAACCAATAAAATGTTGAAAATAGCAAGAAATGTTTCGGTCCATTAAGTCGTATACATTTTTTACCATTACCACAAAATCCAACTCCTTGCTCTTCAAACCGTACACATTTCTTCCACTTAAGTAATAATATGCAAAGTAGTGCATCAATAGATAGATTGTTTCAAAAAAAGAGGGACAAGTAGCGGCAATTGTAAGGACTCGGAAATTACTAAAACTCGGCTCAGCTCGGCTCGGCTGCCATCATACACGATTTGCGAAAAATTTTTTCTGTTAAAGGTGGGTGTCCTTACCCCGTCGTGGCAAAGGACGTTAGGTGCCACACGTCGGGTTAGG